GGGTTTCTAGTTTTGAAGGGGTATATCTCCTGTGCTCAATGGCTGTAGCCAATAGTGGGATCCATCTAGCTCTAGTTATTATAGGTATTGCCCTACTATTCAAAGTAGCTGCTGCTCCCTTCCATAACTGGGCCCCCGATGTGTATGACGGGGTGCCAACCATCGTGACTACATGGCTAGCTATTATGCCAAAGGTTGCCATCCTTGCCTTCCTAGGTGAGTTCCAGGGGTTTACCCATCTAGGTGGGGTGTACGAAACCGCTTACCCGATCTGGCCCAATATTCTCCTAGTAAGTGCACTACTATCCCTAGTTATTGGTGGTCTGCTCGGTCTAGCTCAATACCGAATAAAACGTCTGCTAGCATACAGTACGATCTCGCACATGGGCTTCATCCTACTAGCTCTAGCCATCCATACTCAAGAGGGTATAGAGGCGTACCTTTTCTACCTAGTGCAGTACGTGCTTACGAGCATTAACATCTTCTTCGTGCTACTGGCCTTTGGTGATCACCCTTATGGGTCCGCATGGGATACCCCATCTTCCGCAGGCTTCTCACTCTTTGATAACGCTGAGCTGCCCAAAAACTCACCGATCAGGTACATTTCTCATATTAGCCGGAACTCTAATATCCAGTCGAACCCTGCGTTAGCCCTAACCTTCGCTATCACCCTCTTCTCCATGGCAGGTTAAGGTAGCCTGTATCTCACTGTATGCTGGGAACTCCTTAGAGCCTTTGGTCCGAGCTCCTATAAATGGAGCCGGGACAATTCGAGGGATTGGACAATCAGCAGGAAACCAAACCTTGTAAGCTCAAGGAAGTAGGGATCCTCAGAGACTATACGTGAGAACGATGGGCTCACCCGTCGTAAGATATAGTCCAATACAAGAGGTTTGCTTATAGGTTTATGCTAATGTACCTTTCCTTTTCAGTAAACCCTCTTAGACACTCCCAAAGACGGTACTACCAGACACCCTCGGCCAAACCTTATCTAACGCCTGAGCAAAGGGAGGTGATAATAAGCTGCGCTCTTGGAGATCTAGCTTTTTAAAGCGTAATGCTAATGTCAATACCCTACTTCAGTTCTGGCAAGGCGCTAAGAATGCTGAGTACCCCCTTCATCTTTATGCACTGTTTGAACCTACTGCGGTACTCCTCCTCGGAAAGCATTCGGGTTCAACCTCAAACAGGGAAACCATACGGCTACATTAGGTTTAATACTCTCTCTCTCCCTATGTTTAATGAATTTCACGCTCTCTTCTACGGTCCCCCCGGCCTGAGGACCAAGGGCCCTCAGTCCTTGGGCCGAGGGTGGGCCGAGGGGAACGGCACAAAAATCGTACCCCTTAATTTGGGAGCTCCTTACTTGACGATCACTCGCTTATTGGGCGAATATAACGCATAGTACGCAGAAATTTAGGAAGATTTAATAAATTCCCTCTTTTACCTTAAACCTTATATCTAACCTTAGAAGTAAACTTTGCTTATACATTAATATGCTCAGAAAAGTATCTAATATGAGTCCTAACCGGCCTCGAAATGGTAAAGGCACGCCTATTATCCTTCATTTTGTTGTAACCGCTCTGGTAGTCTGGGGACTCTGCCTGTATTCCACTTTAGGTTTAACTCTAACTACCGCGGCCAAAGCCTTAGCCTACCTATCTCCTATTCTAAAGGGTATTTTAATAGGTTCCCGATTCCTTTGAGAGATTAAAGCCTATCTTTAGGTAAAGGCCGCAAAGATGCTCGGTTTTCGTGCTTCCCTCGGTCCTCAACGAGGGCATCGTACCTCGGCCAAGCCCTGTAACATAGTGGTTTAGCTTTACAAGTATGGTCCCTTTTGTCACACTTGGTCAATCTGTTCCTCGTTTTCATAGATCTATGGGTAAAACTCACTTTGGCCTTGTATTCGATACGGCACGGGGTTATCCTGTGTTAACCTCCTTATACAATCTCTTCTACGTTAATGGACGCAAAGCCATCCCTTCCTTATTGCTGAATTATTGACTCCCCAAGGTTTAGCTATGTGGGCCATGTGCGATTTCAACTAGGCCTAGAGGTTCTACCTTAGAGTGTACATCAGTTCTCATTATCCGAAACCAGGTAATCAGACAAACCTGAGGTCATGCATATCACCTTTGTGTTGTTTCAGCATTATATGAGTCCAGCTGCAAAAGCCGCCGTGATTTTTCCCCTGAAATTCTGGAGGTAATAAAGGAATGCTTAGAGGAGATGGCTGTCTTACTAAGACGACAAAGAGTGGAAACTCTCAGCTCCAAATTTGGCAAAAGAGTAAAGAGTTTGTAGAGCATCTCTGGATACTTCTTAGTACAATACGGTATTGTAGGGGCTCTTCCTTATACTTTGGAACGTTTTGATAGCCGCACGGGTCAGACTTATACTGCTACTCATTTCGCTACTTTTGGACTTCCTTTCTTTGGTGCGCTGTTTCATGAGTGGTATACTATAGTTAACGGTAAAGCTACAAAACGCTTGCCTGCCAATATAGCAAACCTCTTAACACCAGTAGCTCTAGCTTACTGGACAGCCAGCGACGGGACATATCACAAAAAAACAGGGGCAGTAATTCTCTGCACTGACTCCTTTAGCCCAGAAGAGGTTGACTTGTTACGGTCCATCCTTTAAACATAGTTTAATATCCAATCAACTAGGGTATCCAACGGCTCAAGTAAAGAGCAGTACTGTATTCGTATTGCTAAGGCCTCTATGGTCACCTTCCAGGCCCTTGTTGCTCCCCATATTCCCTTCTTGCATGAAAGACAGAAGTGGTTTATAAGACCTATACTTGTATTATCTTCATTTCGTTGTAAATAGAGTGGTATTCAAATATTTCCCTTGCTTGCTGCCTTTTTTCTTAATGGAGATGGCTGTAAGGCCCAATCTGGTTTCTATCTTTCTACTATTCCTTTACCTTTGTAGAGGTTAACCTTTTATGCAAGGCTCTCAAGGACCGTTTTGATTTAAACTCTTCTGTGCATTTACAGGCGGGCCAACCACGTCTTTACATTTCTGCTTCTTCTATGCCCCGTTTTCGTTCTATTGTAGCTCCTTTTTCCCACGATTCAATGTTGTATAAACAAGGTAATTCCTTCAAATACCCCGACGATGGAACGCCCGACATGGTTTTGTCTTCTGTACCCACTGCTTCACCCTTGCCGAGGTTCAACTCCTTTGTGCTGTGCTTGACGAGAAGTTTGGTCTTGTATCCTCTATCCAGTACCAACGAGGCTTGCCTGTGATTTATAGCCGAGCGGCTTCTTTGGAACACTTTCGCTCACTGGTGAGGCCCTATTTTCAACCTAGTATGCTATATAAGCTAGGCTAACTGAAACTGTTGCTGTGTCTATGAGGGTGCTATAAGCAAACGTATTGACTCCGCCTTTACTAGGTTTCTTTGCTAAGCTAATGGTGCTTTACGCAGCAGGACACGCTGGATTCTTCTTCTTGGTAGGTGTAGCAATAATGGCCAGCGTTATCAGTGCGGCCTACTACCTACGAGTTATACGAGTCATCTTTTTCGATACTCCCCAGTTCACCGATACTCCCACTTGCCGGGTACGTCCCAACGGAAATCATTCCATGGTTATAGGGACTATAACCCTATTGATTATACTCTTCATAGCTAATCCCCTCCCAATACTAAACTGCCTGCACCTTCTGGCTCTTTCTCTATTCTACTGGTAATGTTACTTTTCTTCATCTTGTTCGTTCCTCTGTTCGTGCTAATCCTATTAGGGGTACACATGTTGGTTGCTACCAGCAACCCCGATGCTGCTAAAGTTTCGCCTTATGAATGCGGTATGAATTCTGTCTCAGATGCTCGGCAAAAATTCCAGGTTAGTTTCTTCCTTGTCGCCCTTCTATTCATAGTCTTTGATTTAGAGATCCTATTTCTTTACCCTTTAACTGTATCCCTTTACCATATTTCTCTTTTTGGGTTTTGGATAGCAATGGTCTTCATTTTGATAATAACTGTCGGTTTTATTTACGAGTTAGCTTCAAATGTTCTTGATTACGCCAAAACTCCTTCTTCTAAAATTACCCCCCCCAATCCCCCTAGAGCTAAGCTCCTTGCAGGGATACGGAACTATTCTACCTCTTCCTCCCTCCCTAGTAGTACATAAGAATAATACCCTCTAACATTTGTTGGCTTTGAAGGCCCTATAGCTCTGGCTTACTTGATCTCATCGGATGGCTGCTACAGTCAAACTCAAGGTTATATACTACTATGCCCAAACAGCTTCTCACCTGAAGAGGTGGACCAATTACCGAGAGGTACTCTTAAGTAAAAAGGTATTGAATCTACTCGCTATGCTCAAAATAGAGCAAAGGATCAATACATAATCCGAATCCCCAAACGCGAAGTACCTAAGGTGCAGGAAAGGAACTCGTTTCTCCCTACATTCCTTGCTCGAAGAAGGGCAGAGCAGGGCTCTAGACCTTTAAACCTGTCAGCCTCTTTCTCTTGATTTCTGTTTGGTAGTTAACTAGATTAAAACAAACAATTCCCCCACTCTGGTCCTTCAAAGCAGTTCTACGCGGATCGTAGTCTAATGGTAAGACGATCGGTTTGGGTCCGATAGATTGTAAGTTCAAATCTTACCGATCCGAAAGACCTGATTTAGGGCCTTGAGGCCACAGACGCGACCAGGTAGGCCTTAAAGTGTTTTACAACTCTGGCTTATGGCCAGAGTAAAAAAGGAACTGAACACCTTGTGTCTCCCGTTAGTTTATTAACCCTTACTCTTCCCTCTATACCCCTCTTCGTATTCAGGGCAGTGACCTGTAGGGTCAAGGGCTCAATATTCGACCAGTACCACTCTGGGTCTACCTTATCCCCCTCGTCATCAGACACCGCTTCGGGTTCAGTGGGTGGGTTAGAGGAAGTAGAATATAAACGCTTAGCCAAGCTAAATGAAGGGTTTGGGCAACCCCTGCCACTTAGTTACATAATTAAACCTGTAGAACCTGATGGGTTGTATGCCTGATGCTAGGGGTCAATAATTTTAGCCGAGTGAGTGCGAGTACAAAGAAGATGGCGAGTCGTCTGGTTGTAATGTCGACGCCTTAATTGGTGGATAAGTCAGTATGACAGCTGGAGCGCACTGGGTACTCTTGATCTTATACGAGGGAGAGGCCGGGCAAGGGAGGACCAGGTACAAGGCAAAGTTTTCGGATAGCTTCAGCCACTCTGCCTTTCTAGTTTAAGACTCTTGGAACCGAGCAATAGTTGCCGCATTAAAGCACGTTGACCCTCGTGGTTTCTGGCTTGTACCAGGGAGCTTAGACGCTCTAGCTTACCTTGGAGTTTGTTACCTCTTGGTTTCGATCAGCAGCTCTCGTTCCAGTTGGAGTCGTTATATTTTGGTGAGCTGTAATATATCATTCCCCCCGCTAGGTGTCCTTATAGAGATGAGGAGTATGTAGCTCAAAGGTAGAGCAACCGTCTTTTAAACGGTTTTGTTGGGGTTCGAACCCCCACATACTCAGTTTAATGGTACAATCCCCCTATGGGAATTACTATCTTACTGGTTCCATGAGGTTTCTATACCTTCTATTATTATAAACTGTTGTTTTATTAGCTGAGTAATCTTCTTATTATATTCTAACCCTCTACCTCTGCCTACTCAACGATGCATTTAACCTTCACTGAACCTAACCTCTTAGGACCACTGCTAAGCTTGCTACTACTGTGGGGAATTGTGAGTTAACTCCCCTAAAGAGGTTATCCTGGTCATTGCCAGGGTTGATTAAATAGTTCTTATTACTATTAACCTATCTATCTATAACTGGCCGTTGAACTTCGTTCAAAGATAAAGTGGAACGGATAGACCACACTTTCCTGGACATATGTGATATAATACATAATATGTGATGATTAATATTACAATCTAGCTTAGTTAAGAACCTATCTTCCAGGGTAGGGCAGCAAGTAGTTAAGAACATTATTGCTGGAAAGCAGAGGTCGGCTATTCTGAATAAAGTTAAGACCCCTTGAATAGAGGCCATAGAAAAGGCAGCTAAGTTGAAGAGGTTCAGAGAGTCTGGTAAAAAGGGCCTATGAGAATGGGTAAAGTTTGAGAAAAGGATTCCTAAGACTAGTTTTTGAGATATTAGAGCAAGAATAGCAGCTATTAAGAAAAGAAGAGGGGGAAGTTGGGGCACCCTATAGACATGAATAAATGCAAAGGAGAAATGATAAATTGTGGCTAGAAATTGAGTAACTAAATATGCCGACCAATTAGAAGGTGGTGTAAATACAGAGAAAGCTATGTTTGATATCCAAAGAGGAGTCATGCAAAACCTTTTTCACGAATGTTGAGGGCTCTACGGAACTGCCGTACCTAAGAATGTATCTGGATTAAGTTGAACTAAGACTGGGGTAGTAGCTTTCGACAGGGTAAAGTTCTTACCTTGAAAAGATTATAGCAAGATTGCTAAGGGCGAAGATGTTATCGAACCTCATATTGGAAATGTAGATACTGTACAATGAACCATAGATAAGAAATGATCTAACTCTACCGAATGACCCGAAACTGATTTAGCAAGGTTAAAGAATGAGCCTTTATTCAGGGCACAATATGTCTCTAGTATTGCTCGGACTTTAGCTGCTTCTTTTGATGGAGAGCTTTTTGACCTTCTTATTGCTGCTGCTATGGGAAAAAAGGGAGCAGTGATAGAAATGGATTTTCCTAAAAGATTTGACCCTCAAAAGGTAGACATCTATCTTAAGGTCGCTGATATTGTTTCTGAGATAGAAAAGATTCTTAGTGAATATTATATGGGGGTACCTAGAAAACAAGTCTTAGTGATAGTAGACCCTAAACTCTTCTCTAGAGTTATTAGAGGGCTGTTAGGAACCCAAATTTTAATGGAAAAGGCTTTAGATTTCATTCAAAACGAACAAATTACCCCTACTGTTATCTCGGGTATTTCTATTACTCGTCATATTGCTCTTGATAATGTAATTATCGGCCAAGCAAGTAATAAGTTCAAAAGTTATAACTTTAAAGGTATCAGAGCTATTATGGATACTATTTTTAGATGAGAAGATTTCTTATTTGACCTATATTTACATAATGGTTTCGTTACGGTGTGCTCAGACATCTTAGTGATATTAAATTAGAGCGACATAAGAGGTAACAATGCTTTTTAGCCGTTGAAACTGGATTGACGTCCAGGAATTCCGTAAGACTTTTGGTTTTGAGGACTTCAATACTTATCAGGACCATCTTATCTTTAAGGCTGTTCGTTATGGCTGCGAAAGGGTAGACCTAGAAAGTGGAGGTACTATTACTGGTATCTTAGCTGAGAAACCTTTTCCTGGCCATTTAACAAAAACACAAGAAGAAGCTGTCAAAGAGGCTGTTGCTTGATGCGCTAACCATATGATTCGTCAAGGATTGGAATGGCTCAGAGGGAACCAAGCCGTTAGTTTAGGTTCTCTGGGATATTCGATCAATCATCGACTGTGTCTCTATTCTGCGGTATTCGTGGTTGTACATGCGGATCCGGTCTGGACCTCGAAGCTCTTTCAGGCCTCTCATGCTATTTGAAGAAACGTCCAGCACCCTCCTTTCGCTGTCGGATTGACCTACCTGTAGGTAACCCTCCTACTCGCTTCAGCCACATTTGTCGATTGAGGACTCCATACCCGTTGGTATGTAAAGCAAGGTTTCTTACCCACCCTAACGCTACCCCTAGGAAACCCAGACCATAGGCTCGTCTCTTAGGTCCTCCATGACCTTAGGTTTCGCATCAGATAACTCACCCTCGGCTACCATAAATCTTACACGACTGCCTACACGTTCGATCACACAACCTAGGGTTTTCAGCGCTCCATCGCCAACTAGTCTTGCGTCTTCCCCGCATGATGGTTACCCTCTCTGATAGGGTAGTTGATACTTTGCCTTTTTACTCAGAGTCGGTTAGTACGCCTTTGGATAGCCTACAAGCAAGTTATCCGCATATCGAACGCTTACGAGATCTAGGGATCTGAGGCCGTCGTCTACAACCTTCGCATACAGGTTGGATAGTAACGGTGGCAGAACACAAATTCTCCTTGGG